GAAGAGGCGACATGAGAGCGTGATGACACTATACGTACCAATTATCATTTCTTATTCGAGGATGGAGGTAAATTCTTATATTCATTTAGTATTATATGACTATTGCATATACATGTGGTTGAATGTATATGTGTGTCTGAATTTCGGAGACAAAATTTTTATAAGGGGGGAAGAATATAAAACCCGGGTAAATTTGAAATTTTTATGAAAAAGGGTAAAATAATAATTTATCACTTCGGTGCGGGTTGAAAATCCATATTTCTCTAGAGCTCGGATAACGAAACGGACGTCATCATTGGATTTGTCTCGAGAAGTCTAGTTACCCAGATAATTTTCATCGAATTCTAAGATAATCAGATTTTTTGCATTTTTTGAGGCGACTAGATGTCAGGTGACCTAATAAATGACCTCAAAAAAAAAACTTATAATTTTATTATAATTTAAAGAAAGTTTATATAAAAATATCTTGAACTTAAATCAAGACGAAATTTAATCGTTTTAGGGCGGAAACGGACCTGAGAATAGGGAACGCGTGGCACATCGTGGACCAAGCGTTAAAGGGTATAAATAGGAGTCAAAAAATCTCATTTTTCACAAAAGTATTTATTGGGTTGCTAGGTTTTAACGTTGGAAGAGGAAGAGAAGGAAATGAAGAAAAAAGTAAAGATTTAAGACTTCTCTCTACGATCTACAGAGTTCTACCGGTTGGAATCCTTTGGGCCAAGTATTAAAGTCGATCTACGCGACGAGGGCTACGCAACCACACCAAAAAAGACAGGTTTCACTGAAGATTCAAAGATGGAATATTGGAAAAAATTGATTTTGGGCAAAGTTTGGGTTCTTAGAGCTTCCTAGCATTGTTTTACGCTTTAAAAGGTAGAGTTTTCATCCTAATTAGGTTTATTTCCAACTTAAGATGAATATATGAAATTAGTGGGCTGTTATATATATTTCAACACTTGCCTATTGTAGTTGGTTTAATGAAAATAGGTAAATTCAATTCTAGTATGAATTGGTAATCAAAAATTACTTATTTATAATTAATTTCTTAGAAGTTTTGATAATTGAGCATGTGAAAATTACTTAATTTGATTTTTTTTTGAGTTGTGTGATAAATTTGAGCATTTTATATGATTACATAGTTTGGTGCCTTAAAAGTGTTTGATAAAATGCCTATGTAAAATAAAGTGTATTAATTGCATGAGATTATGTGATAACATGCTTGAGAAAAATTAACCATAGTGTATGTTGAAATGTGGTTGAGATTATTCATATGACACTCATACATATTGGACATGATATTGGTCTTGCAATTACACATTACATTACATTTGCACGGAGACAACGCATTCATGGGCATGAGGCATGAGTGTGGGTGTGTGTGCATAGTTGATCAAAGACTATTCTTAGTAGTTGATAAGTGAACTCTGGAAGGTTGGACTTAGGTCCGGTTGAGTTGCATGAAAAATTTATGTCGGGTATAACAAGCAGAGTTAGATTCTCCCTCGAGTGTAAGACCCGATTACTAGTTTATGCACTTTCTTCGGTGCAAGTCCAAAAAAATGTATCGGTGTGTAGAACCAGTGGTGAGACACCAAAATACCGCTACCAAACAAAGACACATGATTTTGTTTTAAACAAAGACANGTATTTATTGGGTTGCTAGGTTTTAACGTTGGAAGAGGAAGAGAAGGAAATGAAGAAAAAAGTAAAGATTTAAGACTTCTCTCTACGATCTACAGAGTTCTACCGGTTGGAATCCTTTGGGCCAAGTATTAAAGTCGATCTACGCGACGAGGGCTACGCAACCACACCAAAAAAGACAGGTTTCACTGAAGATTCAAAGATGGAATATTGGAAAAAATTGATTTTGGGCAAAGTTTGGGTTCTTAGAGCTTCCTAGCATTGTTTTACGCTTTAAAAGGTAGAGTTTTCATCCTAATTAGGTTTATTTCCAACTTTAGATGAATATATGAAATTAGTGGGCTGTTATATATATTTCAACACTTGCCTATTGTAGTTGGTTTAATGAAAATAGGTAAATTCAATTCTAGTATGAATTGGTAATCAAAAATTACTTATTTATAATTAATTTCTTAGAAGTTTTGATAATTGAGCATGTGAAAATTACTTAATTTGATTTTTTTTTGAGTTGTGTGATAAATTTGAGCATTTTATATGATTACATAGTTTGGTGCCTTAAAAGTGTTTGATAAAATGCCTATGTAAAATAAAGTGTATTAATTGCATGAGATTATGTGATAACATGCTTGAGAAAAATTAACCATAGTGTATGTTGAAATGTGGTTGAGATTATTCATATGACACTCATACATATTGGACATGATATTGGTCTTGCAATTACACATTACATTACATTTGCACGGAGACAACGCATTCATGGGCATGAGGCATGAGTGTGGGTGTGTGTGCATAGTTGATCAAAGACTATTCTTAGTAGTTGATAAGTGAACTCTGGAAGGTTGGACTTAGGTCCGGTTGAGTTGCATGAAAAATTTATGTCGGGTATAACAAGCAGAGTTAGATTCTCCCTCGAGTGTAAGACCCGATTACTAGTTTATGCACTTTCTTCGGTGCAAGTCCAAAAAAATGTATCGGTGTGTAGAACCAGTGGTGAGACACCAAAATACCGCTACCAAACAAAGACACATGATTTTGTTTTAAACAAAGACATAAGATTTTGTTTTATATAAAGACACATGATTTTGTTTTAAACAAAGACACATGATTTTGTTTTATACAAAGACACATGGTTTATTTTAAAATGTCATTGGATGTACAACATCAATGATGAGGGTTTGGAATGCCCGATTTTATACTCATGACATTTCATGGGTGATGGGAGCTAGTGAAGACTTGGGTTGAAATGCATGAGTGAGTCTCATCTCATTTCATGGTATGACATGGTAATTTTTAACATGAAATTGCATATTCTTGATTGTAATGATTATTGTTTAATGAATGTTGCATGTGGATATTTCATATGCACTTAGGTTAGGGAGTGACCTCTTTAAGAGATACCCTATTAAGCGTGAATCACCTTTTATGGAAAAGCATTTCAAATGCATGTTATACACTGGTGGATGACTCGTATTTGGGGCCTCAAGGATGAATAAAAGTCGACTTGTGGCTTTTAAACTTTGTTTTGTAAAACTTTTGTGAATTCGGTTTTGGACATATAAATTTATGTAAATGATTGTAATTGAACTTATATGGACTATTTTTAATGTAAAATTGTTATATGAGTACAGATAAATGGACACGGTATGATCAATGTTGTATGATTGCACAAATTGTATTTTTTGGGTAGAGCTTCCTGTACAAAGGAGACTCTGTCTGAATATTGTTAAATTATGGATTCCCGTAAATGGGGCATAACGGCGTGGTATCGAGTTACACAATATCCACAAGTATTCTATTAATTGATGAGTAATCANCTGAATATTGTTAAATTATGGATTCCCGTAAATGGGGCATAACGGCGTGGTATCGAGTTACACAATATCCACAAGTATTCTATTAATTGATGAGTAATCAACGGGTTGACAAACGATCCTCAATTTTTGAGACGTCACATTGTGGGCCGTCGTGATTTTGTGGGCCCTGACGTCTGTTGAGAAGAGAGAGAGAAAGATGAAAGTTTGGGTGTACCGAGAGAGAAATAGAGGTAAGGATATTTTTTTTGGGATCATTTTACCATTTTTTTTTAGCCCAAACGCTAGAGCATGCACGTGAGCCATACATACTGCTAAATTAGATGGAAAATATCATAGTATATTTTAGTCCAACAATCACAGGAAGGTTATGTATTATTTTAGAACTCGAGGGAGGTGATGTACAAATGAGTCAAACTACAAAGGGGTAAAATAAAATTTGTCCTTTTTAATTTTATTGGTCACGAGACACGTCCAATCCAAAAACTTTAGTTGTAAGAATATCCCATGTGATTTATGCATCCCCGATTTGATTATTAAACATTAACTCATATGAGTTTATTCAAACCATCCGGGTCAGAGAAAGCCTTATAAAATTACAAAATTTGGATTAAAAACTATGTGTTGGAGTTTAATCTTAAATATTAAAGAGTCTTAATATTTGGATTAAGTTTTGGTGGGAAAAAAAAAACTCAAGCTAGATTTTTCTTCGGTGAACATCTGGGTTGGGTCATGGGTTTTCATTTTCAAGAATCAACTTGGACTAATGAATTCACAATTAATTGAATTGAACTCGAAGTTTAATTTGAATATTATAGTTCAATGTAAGAATTAAATTCAAATTAAATTTGATTTTAATACGAATTTAATCTTAAAAATTGAACTCAGTTTCAACTCAAGTTAACTTTAAGTTTGGACAATACTCAGAATAAAAAGTCATGTTATATAAGAGTCCATGATGAATCAAGATTGAGCTAGGCTAGATCTTTTAAACCGTTTAATCTGCTTAAGTTGAGCCCTTAGTTTCCACATCACAAAAAATTTGATCAAAATTTGAAATTTCAAACTAATGGGCTAGTACTCCATACAAATATGAAAACTTTAAGATAATCAAATGAAAAATGCATAAAATTGGTGACCTGCAATTTAATATGTAAAGCTCAGGAATCTTGGCCCCTAAGGCCATAATCTTATCCCGTCCCGATTCCAAATACACGTTTAATGTGAGACTCAACACACACCCACACGAAGATGACATACATAAATGATTAATCATTTTTAATAACCGATGACCCAATAATGATAAATTGATTTCCATAATCTCTATAAAAAATTAGTTTTTCTTTAACCTTTTACTGGCAAAAATGGATCAGAGCATATATGTACAATAAAACTAGTGTCTACAATAAAATTGGTATGCAAAAAGCTTTTATTTTGGACATAATAGACACATCCAAAGTCATTTATGTAACATAAATGAAAATAAGTGAGGTCAAGATAATAGAAGCCAAGTGAGGAAGACCAATGTNACACATCCAAAGTCATTTATGTAACATAAATGAAAATAAGTGAGGTCAAGATAATAGAAGCCAAGTGAGGAAGACCAATGTAGTTGAGGGTGCTAGCACTTCTATGGTGATGGTTCATTGCACCGGTTGCATACAAGGGGATTACCGACTTGGTATGATCATCACCATGACTATTTTCCATGCCGGAGTGGCCGTGTGATCCTCTTCCACCTGCATGACCACTAGCATGGCCTCCACCGGCACCTCCACGCCTATCAGCAACAGATATTTTTTGTTCATCTTCTGCTTTAGTCGATAATTTTGCCATCTGTTTTTGGTCACCAAGCTTTTTCTCAGGAATGTATGCTACAAGATGAGTCTCACGTTAGATAACAAAGAGTAGACAAGGAAACACTCATAGCGTATGAAGGCAGGGACAGATACAAGAAGTTAGCCTCAAGATAAAAATACGTAGGTGACAATTTTTACAATGATTTTTAGGAAAATTTTGTGGCACAAGTATATATGCCTTTAACACATGTATAATGAATAAGAGTTTAAATATTACGGGCGACTCTATATAATGTAAGAGTATGTTTATTGAATACTAAGTGTTTGAATCTAGTGTTATTGCATGTTTTAACTTTTTGTGTGATCATAAAAAAATTGATTTACGTACAACTATTATCTATTATATTTCATTAGTATAATTCATGTGTACAACTAAATGTCAAGGAAAATAACATGTACAAATGAGAAAAGACGACAAGTTCAGCAAAGATTGTCAAATATTCGGGAGTTCCTCTATTCAATCATTTTGCTTCTTGTTGCTAGACATCTCATTTGTTTTGATAAACCCTTTAGAAACGTTCTAGTATTCGATTTGTTCACATCTATAAGATAGAGTGGGGAAAAGGTGCTTGGCCCATAGGTTTTAAAAAATGTCTCTTATTATATTATTACTACACTTGAATACTTTCAAATTATATAAACTTGCCCCTAAGATTTGTTAAACTACTAAGAAGGCCGTTTCTTCAAGAATAAATTTTGGATCCGTCCTTTCTGGTAAGCTTTAAACTCTATTTATGAGGATATTAACTTTCACTTTTTAATTTGACCGAAAAAAAGAAGCATTGTAGATGTTACTTTGCATAAGAACTTTCTTCTTGCTTGTTGCCATTACCAAGGTATCTTGGAATACACTAGCAAGAAGCCCTTGAATAATTTCTATGTTGCACACACAAGGAATGTGTATGTATGTATTCTAGAAACAGACAAACATTAAAAATTATCGTATTATATGAAAATATCAAAACTTATTGGAAAAATATGTGTAATGAAATTTGCATTTGTAAGCACCCAACAAATGTTAATGAACAGAAAATACTCATAAACTAGAGCAATCGGTTAAACTCAAATACTCATAAACTATGATCTCTTAATATTTAAGAGTGATCATTCTCTAGCGAAGCAATACAAAATAAGTATCGATTTGATTCATATTTTTCAAATATTCATGAAACCCCCAATGATGGAGGATTAAAGTCAGATAAGAACTGTTATGCATTTATTATTATGACAAACAAATTAGAAGAATGAGGGTTAAAATCACTCCCCTCTCATTATTACGTAATTGGATGACCCTTCAATTCTTTTAAATTGAGAAAGATTTGCTTATGCCATNTTTAGTTGTTTTTCTTAAAATTGTTTTCGTTAAACTCAAACCCTCTCCATCTTTGTTCACGAGGCATAAAACTAGGCTAGATACTCTCCGTGGGAACGATTCTTACTCGCATTACTACATGTATTTTTAGGAGTATAAGTTTTATTTTTAGTTGCTTGCGACATCACACCAATATGTATTCAAGAAACAAACAAACATTAAAAATTATCGTATTATATGAAAAATATCAAAACTTATTGGAAAAATATGTGTCATGAAATTTGCATTTGTAAGCACCCAACAAATGTTAATGAACAGAAAATACTCATAAACTACAGCAATCGGTTAAGCTCAAATACTCATAAACTATGATCTCCTAATATTTCAAAGTGATCACTCTCTAGCGAAGTAACACACAATAAGTATGGATTTGATTCATATTTTTCAAATATTTCATGAAACCCCCAATGATGGAGGATTGAAGTCAGATAAGAACTGTTATGCATTTAATATTATGACAAACAAATTAGAAGAATGAGGGTTAAAATCACGCCCTCTCATTATTACGTAATTGGATGACCCTTCAATTCTGAATTGAGAAGGATTTGCTTACGCTATCAAATTTAGTTTATTCTCAATTTAAAATTTCAAGGTGTTTTTGGAATAATAAAAACTGGTGACCTACATAGAACCATTCAGAAGGAATTATAAGATTTTTAGAATATTTAACGTTTGGTGTAATTTCTTAAATTTAAAATTGAGGTGGAGTCAAACCCAAAAAATAAAACACTGTAATATATATATATATCCAAAGGAATTGACGCATTAATGTACCTGAACCAAGATAATTACTGTATGAAGGATAGGAGGCCACATGAAGGAGAAAAAGCTGAAGGCATATGATCTTGAGCAATACTAATCTCATCTTTTTTGTGCCCATTGCAATCCCTTCTCAGCTGCTTCATATAATAAAAGAGCTCTCTTTCACTTTTTATCTTATCTTTATTCCCTCTCTTTGGCTTTCTGGAAATATCGGTAACCCTCTATAATCTTCTTGGAAAGTTCCCAAAAGTGCTTTAGATCCTTGAGAAGTTGGAAAACTCTCACCTTTTTTCAAACAATTAGAGCTGGCTTGAGACATTTTGATGTTTAAAATAAGAAAGTTAAATAACTACGATTACTTTTTATTTTTTAATTAAAATTTATTCGCCTTTAAAGATAAAAAATTATTTAGTAAGTTTTTTTTTATCGCCTTTAAAGATACAAAATTATTGCTTTAATGGCCTAATGTTTTGGTCGGCACGGCAAACAATAAAGTAAGATAGCTTGTTTGTATTTGACACTTAGGATTACTTTAACAACAAAAGGGTCAATAGCCGGTATACAATTTGCATGTAAACAACAAAAAAAAAAATTACAATTATTACAGAAAGTGAGGCTTAGTATAAGCCCTTACTTTTCTTTGACAGGGGAGGCAGATGTGAACTCTTAATTTCAAGAAGGAAAAATTTTTATAAGATAAATAATATCATTGGACCAAAAGTCTATTAGTGTATGACCACTCACTCATTTAAAATGTTGTATGCGTGGTAATTTCATTACCAATTGTTTGGCATATTTATGGATTGTTGGCGTGCAAAAGTTTGATTGAACTTAATATCCAAATACATACAATTTTACTTATTCGAATTAGTGTGAGATCTTAAAATCGTGATTGTTTAGACGACTGTAACGAGACGTAAGACTACCTTTGAATTCTTTTCTATACGTTAGGGATCAAGGACTTTAAATAATTTTCTAACTAGCAACGTAATGGACTAGAACGAATAAAGAAAACTATTATGTAAAGTAGTAGATAACTAAGTTTGGATGAAAAAAGTGGCAAAGATCACTAAAGTGATGAATTATAAGAAAAAGTAAAGTTGCTTGAAAGTAAAAACAAGTAATTAGGAGAAATGCTAGCTTTATGTAGAGTTTATTGTGTTTGATCGTTGATATTTTCTTTGTAGCCTTGCCATTGTTATTTATATGACTGATCTTCAACCGTCAACCTATGACATGGAAAAAAAAAACCCATGACATGAATGTATAAGATTGGGTACATGCTTAATTGAAAATTTTCATCATTCATAGGCATCGTGTTTGTTGGTAATGTTTATATAATGCCTCATGCTATATTTTAAGCAGATTGTTACGGTGAATATTATTCGATATGAACTTACAAGTATTAACACATACAATATACGAGATGAGATTAAAATTTAGTAGTTGTTTTTCCTGTTGAGCATGAATCACTCTTAACATTTTTGTATGGAATAGACCAAGAGATGGCGATGGTTTCTTCCCAGAGCTATCTTAAATACTTGTGCTTAGTTGACTTACGAAATATTATATTTCATGTTAATGATTGAGAAAATTTCAGATTTGTGACTAGTGTTTTATTGCTTTGGTGCATTTTCTAAACCTATGGATTTAATAGTGTTGATTAATGGATTATTTATGGGATGAATGCATAATTTGGGCACTTAAACTATGATATCAAATAAATGCTCAAATTGCTAATCTGTTGTACTTAAGTTTACTTTGAGAGTTCGTTAGATGCTATGATTATCCAATTTAAACTGAAATACTTGAACTGTTCAATTCATTTGATGAATTGTGTCTATTTGCAACATAAATCACATAAAACATACTAAATCACCCCCCAAAAAAAAGGGGGCGTGACAGTGTTCGTCACTGATGGCCACCAGTGATGTCTATGCTACACCCCTAGCTAACTCAAATGGCGATGAGGGTTGATCTGCCTAAATGGATATCAATGGTGATGATGTGAAGGACAAAAGGAAGTGGGTGCTGGTGGTTAATCGGTGAAAGATAAAGTGGTGGTCTGGTCATGCAAAAGAGAGGTGGGTAGTGGTGTTTGGCATTTGGGTGACCGTGGCTATCGTGGGTCGCCAAGGGTGGTAGTGGTGTCATGGGTCATCACGTCTGTTAAGGAGAGAGAGAGAGAGAGAGATGGAAGTTGGGGTACACAGAGAGAGAAATAGAGTTGAGGGTTTTTTTTTTCTTAATCTTTTTAACTTGTTTTTTTAGCCCAAATGCTAGAGCATGCACGTGAGCAATACATGCTGCTAAATTGGATGAAAAATATAACGGTGTATTTTAGTTCAACAACTACTGGGAGGTTATGTGCTATTTTAGAACCCTAGGAAAGTGATGTACAAACAAGTCAAACCATAAGAGGTAAAATGAAGTTTCCCATTTTTAATTTTATTGGTCTTGAGACATGTCCAATCCAATAACTTTAGTTGTAAGAATATCCCATGTGATTAATGCATCCTCGATTTGATTATTAAACATCAACTCATTTGTTTTTTTCAATGCATTAAGCTTTTTTTTTTGGGTCAAAGAATACATTAAGTGCATTGTCTAAATATAAGATTTTTGAGAAATCTAGAGAAAAATTTGGGATTTTTATAAATTTATGGGGTGTTATAAGAATTTTGAAAAATTTGAGGGGCTAGAGGCCCTAGTAGGCCCATGAATAGTTTTGCCATTGACTAGGAAACTAGACTGATTCAACAGTTTAATTTTTCGAATATCAAACACACCTTGGACTCGTTGAATTAGACGAGTTTTGTCTCCATGGTTTGATTACTCTCGCCTTTACGCTCAACATGGGGGCAGGTCACAATTTGTAGTCAAGACGGATAATGTGGTGATGAGTGACTTTTTAACCCAGAAGAAACTCATGCCAAAAAATAGGCAAAACGTATCGCTCTTACNGGCAGGTCACAATTTGTAGTCAAGACGGATAATGTGGTGATGAGTGACTTTTTAACCTAGAAGAAACTCATGCCAAAAAATAGACAAAACGTATCGCTCTCATNATTAGGAGAAATGCTAGCTTTATGTAGAGTTTATTGTGTTTGATCGTTGATATTTTCTTTGTAGCCTTGCCATTGTTATTTATATGACTGATCTTCAACCGTCAACCCATGACATGGAAAAAAAAAAAAAACCCATGACATGAATGTATAAGATTGGGTACATGCTTAATTGAAAATTTTCATCATTCATAGGCATCGTGTTTGTTGGTAATGTTTATATAATGCCTCATGCTATATTTTAAGCAGATTGTTACGGTGAATATTATTCGATATGAACTTACAAGTATTAACACATACAATATACGAGATGAGATTAAAATTTAGTAGTTGTTTTTCCTGTTGAGCATGAATCACTCTTAACATTTTTGTATGGAATAGACCAAGAGATGGCGATGGTTTCTTCCCAGAGCTATCTTAAATACTTGTGCTTAGTTGACTTACGAAATATTATATTTCATGTTAATGATTGAAAAAATTTCAGATTTGTGACTAGTGTTTTATTGCTTTGGTGCATTTTCAAAACCTATGGATTTAATAGTGTTGATTAATGGATTATTTATGGGATGAATGCATAATTTGGGCACTTAAACTATGATATCAAATAAATGCTCAAATTGCTAATCTGTTGTACTTAAGTTTACTTTGAGAGTTCGTTAGATGCTATGATTATCCAATTTAAACTGAAATACTTGAACTGTTCAATTCATTTGATGAATTGTGTCTATTTGCAACATAAATCACATAAAACATACTAAATCACCCCCCAAAAAAAAGGGGGCGTGACAGTGTTCGTCACTGATGGCCACCAGTGATGTCTATGCTACACCCCTAGCCAACTCAAATGGCGATGAGGGTTGATCTGCCTAAATGGATATCAATGGTGATGATGTGAAGGACAAAAGGAAGTGGGTGCTGGTGGTTAATCGGTGAAAGATAAAGTGGTGGTCTGGTCATGCAAAAGAGAGGTGGGTAGTGGTGTTTGGCATTTGGGTGACCGTGGCTATCGTGGGTCGCCAAGGGTGGTAGTGGTGTCATGGGTCATCACGTCTGTTAAGGAGAGAGAGAGAGAGAGAGATGGAAGTTGGGGTACACAGAGAGAGAAATAGAGTTGAGGGTTTTTTTTTTCTTAATCTTTTTAACTTGTTTTTTTAGCCCAAATGCTAGAGCATGCACGTGAGCAATACATGCTGCTAAATTGGATGAAAAATATAACGGTGTATTTTAGTTCAACAACTACTGGGAGGTTATGTGCTATTTTAGAACCCTAGGGAAGTGATGTACAAACAAGTCAAACCATAAGAGGTAAAATGAAGTTTCCCATTTTTAATTTTATTGGTCTTGAGACACGTCCAATCCAATAACTTTAGTTGTAAGAATATCCCATGTGATTAATGCATCCTCGATTTGATTATTAAACATCAACTCATTTGTTTTTTTCAATGCATTAAGCTTTTTTTTTTTGGGTCAAAGAATACATTAAGTGCATTGTCTAAATATAAGATTTTTGAGAAATCTAGAGAAAAATTTGGGATTTTTATAAATTTATGGGGTGTTATAAGAATTTTGAAAAATTTGAGGGGCTAGAGGCCCTAGTAGGCCCATGAATAGTTTTGCCATTGACTAGGAAACTAGACTGATTCAACAGTTTAATTTTTCGAATATCAAACACACCTTGGACTCGTTGAATTAGACGAGTTTTGTCTCCATGGTTTGATTACTCTCGCCTTTACGCTCAACATGGGGGCAGGTCACAATTTGTAGTCAAGACGGATAATGTGGTGATGAGTGACTTTTTAACCTAGAAGAAACTCATGCCAAAAAATAGACAAAACGTATCGCTCTCATGCACGTCTGCAAAATAAGTTATTTGCCTGCAAACAAGATGGGTTTATTCAATCCATCCGGGTCAGAGAAAGCCTATAAAATTACAAATTTTGGATTAAAAATTGTGCTGGAGTTTAATCTTAAATATTAAAGAATCTTAATATTTGGATTAAGTTTTGGTGGGAAAAAAAAGCTCAAGCTAGATTTACCTTCAATG